ATATATGTATATATGTATATATGTATATATGTATATATGTATATATGTATATATGTATATATGTATATATGTATATATACATACATATACATATATATGCATACACGTGTATATGTATATACGTATATATATAATAATAGTAATAATAATAAATAATATTAATAAAAATATATATAAATTATATAATTATTATTATTATTATTAATTAAATAATTAATTCCTTCTTTATTGCTGCTGCTGCTGCTCATTGGCTTAATAAGAGGGGGGCCCCCCATCCTCAAGGGGGCCCCCCGTGGTATGCAGGAAAAGGGTACTTCTTCCTTTCTTGTTGTTAATTAAGTAATTTATTTTTATTTATTTATTTATTTTTTAGTTAATTATAATTTATTTTTATATTTATTTATAATGATACCTTTTATTTAATGACATCAAGCAGCAACAGCAGCAGCAGCAGCAGCAGCAGCAGCAGCACAGAGAGCTGCAGCAGTGACAACAGACGCCGTTGCTGCTGCAGCGGCAGCAGCAACAAGTGCTCCCTTTGCTGCTTGCCGCAAGGTGTACATTTGCTGCTGCTGGATCTGCTGCCAGCAGCAGATCTGGCTGCTCTCTGCTGCTGCTGCTGCGCTGCTGCTGCTGCCTTCCTGCCCCTTGTTGCAGTGCAGCGGCTGCAGCAAGACTTCGGCTCTATCAGCCTCCATTTGCCCATACCAGCTTCCTTACCAGCAGGAGCAGCAGCAACAGCAGGAGCAGCAGCAGCAGCAGCAGCAGCAGCAAGCACCGCTTGTGGGGTAACCCAAGAGGGGGTTGGATTACACGAAGGGCGTAACAAGGAACAAGAATACAAAAACAGCAGCAGCAGCAGCAGCAGCACCGACAGCAGGGGCAACAGCAGCAGCAGCAGCGGTAGCCAACAGGATGGCGATGCATTTCGCTGCTGCTGTAGTCTGCCGCAAGCAGCAAACAGCAGCAATGCTGCTGCTGAGGTGTACAGGCAGCTCTGCTGCAACAGGAAGGAGAACCTGCGGCGTCTTGAAGCCCTCCAATATAGACAGCACATGAATAGCAGCAGCAGCAACAGCAGCAGCAGCAGCAACAACAGCAGCAGCAGCAGCAGCAGCAGGCTTCTTGTAGCACCAAGAACTGCAGCAATAGCAGCAGGAGCAATTAGTGACTGCAGAGCTGCAGCAACAGCAGGAGAGGAGCCTGTCTCTCGAGTTGTCCTCAACGCACAGCCTGCAGCAGCAGCAGCAGCAGCAGCAACAGCAGCAGCCCTTCCACCTTCAGAAGCAACAACAGCAGCAGCAACAGCAGCAGCAGCAGCAGCAGCAACAGCAGCACCTTATGGTGCATGCATTCTGCTTGAGTCTGATCATCTAATTGCTCCTTGCATGGCACCATTTGTCTTCTCTCGTTGCAGCAGCAACCGCTCAACTGCAGCATCAGCAACAGCAGCAGCAGCAGCAGCAGCAGCAGCAGCAGCACCACGGATAGGGGACTTTCTTGAATGGAATATCTTTGGGTGTCTCTTCTTCCCTGCAGCAGATGAGGGGACATCTGCCCTTCTTGTTGCAGTAGATGTGGGTCGGGGCCCGACAGCAACAATGCATGCACTGCAGCAGCAGCAGCAACAGAAGCAGCAGCAGCAGCAGCAAGACATAATGCTGCAGCTCTTTTATCTATCAAGTCTACGAGCACAAAAACTCGCAGCAGAAATTCCTTTAGGAGATCTTCCCTCTATTACCTGCTGCTGCTATATACCTAGGGTTATACTGCAGCAGCAGCAGCAGCAGCAGCAGCAGCAACAGCAGCAACAACAGCAGCAGCAGCAGCAGGGTGGAGAGTATCAGCTTGTACAAGAGACACTTGTTGCTGCATGGGATGCCAACAGCAGCTGCTTTATTGTTGTGCAATTGAGGCCTTCATATGAGCAGCAGCAGCAGCAGCAGCAGCAGCAAGAGCAGCAGCAGCAAGAGCAGCAGCAGCAAGAGCAACAGCAGCAAGAGCAACAGCAGCAACAACGAGGAGAGACACCTACACCAGAGGCCCTTGATGTTGCTGCTGATTCCGTTGTTGTAAGCCGCAGCACAGAAGATGCTTCTGCAGCAGCAACAGCAGCAGCAACAGCAGCAGCTACAGCAGCAGCTGCAGCAGCAGAAGCTGCTGCTTCTGGCCTCCCATTAAGCAGCAAATGGTTATTTGTCCCGCTGCTGCTGTCGGGCCCCACAAGCACTCGTTATCCTGTGTGCATGCAGTGGGTGTTGCCGCGCTGTGTCCAAGCAGCACGAGAGCAGCAGCAGCAGCAGCAGCAGCAGCAGCAGCAGCAGCAGCACAACTGTATTTGGGCACGAAGACTACCCCCTTTACTTGTTGGATTCTCTGATGGTTCCCTCTCTTTGCTGCTGCTGCCAGCAGCAGCAGAACAGAAACTCCTCGGACCCACAAGGTGAGCTTGCTGCTGCAGCAACAGCAGCAGCAGCAACAGCAATAGCAGCAGCAGAAACACCAGCAGGTGCAGCTGTGTCAGTCAAGTTGCTCCTTAGTATGTATGCCTGATTATGCGGTACGTTAGATAGCTACAGCAGCAGCAGCAGCAGCTGCTGCTGCTGATAAGGAAAAGACAGCACCTAGGGTTTAGGGTTTAGGGTTTAGGGTTTAGGGTTTGTGTTGCAGTGCGGGTCCTCCCCTTCTTTCTGAGGTTGTTGGTGGTCGAGGGATCTGCAGCTGGCATGATCTGCTGCTGCTGCTGGATTTTGAATGCCACTGCAGCAACAGCAGCAGCAGCAACAGCAGCAGCAGCAGCAGCAGCAGCAGCAGCAGCGTCGAGGACTACTTACGCGTATATCTGTTATCTTACTGTGAAATCAATGAGGTGGCAGCAGCAGCAGCAACAGCATCGGCAAGCAGCACTGCAACACCGGAAACAGCAGCAGCAGCAACAGCAGCAGCAACAGCAGCAGCAGCAGCACCAGAAGCAGAAGCAGCACCAGCAACTGCAGCACCGGAAGCAGCTACTGCTGCTGCAGCTGAAAATGCTGCTGAGCAGCCTACGTACGAACTGCAGCAGGTAAGAATATCCAAAGCAGCAGCAGCACCAGCTACCCCAGCAGCAGAAGCAGCAGCAGCAGCGGCAGCAGCAGCTGCTGCTGCAAGTGAGTGTGTTTATGGTGGGGTTGTTTGTCTTGTGCTGCAGCTAAACTTCAATGGACAAACCGCCATAGTCACTATGCATAGCCCTGCATGCATTTGCTTCCTTGACGTAGTACACCGCCCGCTGCAGCAGCAGCAGCAGCAGCAGCCACAGCAGCAACAGCAGCAGCAGCACAGGGCATTTGCTGCTCCGTCTTTTCAGCGTCTTCGGATTGCTGCAGCAAGGGCTGGTGCTTCCTTTATAGAGCCACTGAGTGAATGTGTGGGGCATGCAGCAGCAGCAGCAGCAGCTGCTGCTGCTGCTGCTGCTGCAAATGTTGCAACAACAAACGCAGCAAACGTGCGGTGGCTGCTGCAGTGGGGTGTATCCTCACCTACCCGTGCTGCTGTTGAATTTGCTGCACTCTCCCTTTCGCTGCAGAACAACTGTGACTCCCATAGAGGCTTACCTGCTGCTGCTGCTGCTGCTGCAGCAGCAGCAACAGAATATGTAGTGACACTGCATCCCCGTCCTGGTTGCAGCAGTTTGCTGCCCGTGGGATGTGTTGCTGCTGATCAGCAGTGCTGCTTCTTTGCTGCTGCTGGGTCTCCTATCTTATGCATGCATTCAATAGAGGGGGGCCCCTGCAGCAGCAGCAGCAGCAGCAGCAGCAGCAGCAGCAGCAGCAGCAGGGTACTAAGGTGTATAGACACCCGAGCAGTTAACCCTCCAGGGTTGCTGGGGGCCCCCTCGCTGCTGTCTCCTTCATGGCTTGTGGGAAGAGAAGAGGGAGTGCCGCTGCAGCAGCATTTGCTGCAGCAGCTGCAGCAGCTGCAGCAAATGCCGCTGCAGCAGCTGCATGTTGTGGGACCTTTTCTATTTGCTGCACGAAGACACGAACGCATGCAGCTCCTGCTGCTGCCGTTGCACTGTCAGCAGCAAACGAAGCAGCAGCAACTGCAGGAGCAGCAGCAGCAAGAACAGCAGCAAGATGCGCAGACTTGTTGAGCTGCTGCTGCTGCTGCTGCCTTTAGTTTTTTTATTTCTTTAGTTGTTGTGGTGTACATACACTGCATCAGGGGAAGCAAAAGAAACCTATTTAATTATATTATATATATTATATATTCCTAGCTGCTGCTGCTGCTGCTGCTGCTAGTGCTGCAGTAGACTAACTCGCATTCACGCGCGCTAATGTAGTAACAAGACCAATGGACCTTCTATCCTATACAGCGCTATAGAATGTGGCAGCTGCAGCAACAGCAGCAAAAGCAGCAGCAGTAGCAGCAACTGCAGCAGGAGTAGCAACAGGGGCAGCATGTGCAGCACAAGTTGCATCAGGTGCAGCAACTATGGAAACACCTGCAGCAATTGAGTGGCAACAGCTGCAGCAGACCTGTCTGCTGCTACTGTATGTCACGCAGCACGAGGTGCTGCTGCTGCTATTGCTGCTGCTGCTGCTCACTCTTGCCATTATTGCGGGTGCAGCAACTGCTCTTCGTGCTGCTGCTGCCCAACGACCTAGCGCTAGCGGCTGTAGCAACGACCGAAACGACGGCAGCAGCAGCAGCAACAGCAGCAGCGGCAGCAACAACAACTAAAACAAATAAAAATCTATACATAATAATTAATATTAACTTTTTTATTGTTCATATTATTCAACTCCGGTGGTGCTGCAGCCGCATGCATGCATGCATGCGGCAGCCCCGTGATGGTCTTCCTTTGTAGCGATACTCCTGCCGCTGCTGCTGCTGTTGTTGTTGTTGAATATAAATACATGTGTTTATTTTGCTATAGTGTAGGTCTTGTATTGGTAGCTCCTGCTGCAGCCGCTGCCCCTACTGCTGCTGCTCCTGCTGCTCCTGCTGCAGTGTGTTATGAGTTGAGCCCTGTAGGAAGGTGCCTCAGCTGCAACATACGCAGCAACTGGGGCACCTTAAAGTGTGTATCGTGTTAGTTTGAAGTAGACAGAAGAGCAGCAGCAGCAGCAGCAGCAGCAGCAGCAGCAGGAACAACACCACCAGAGCAGCAGCAACTCCAGCAGAAGCAACTCTAGCAGTAGTAGCCGTGACGGCGGTGACGCATGTAGCAGCAGGGGAAACAGCAACAGCAGCAGCAACAGGCGTTCGTAGTAATTTGTTGCTGCTGCTACAACAGCATGCTGAGCAGCACGTGCAGCCACCGCAGTTGCAGCAGAAGGAGTAGAAGCAACGACGGCAACAGCTGCAGCAACAGCTGCAGCAGCTGCAGCAGCAGCTGCTGCTGCAGCAGCTTCTCCCACTCCATCTGAGCTCATTACGTATTTTGCTGCACCCGATGGGTTTGTTCGCTGCCTCTGACACCGCTGCAACTGCAGCAGACGCTGCAGCGGAAGCTGCAGCAGCACAAGCAGCAGCAGCAGAAGCAACAGCAGCAGAAGCAGCAGCAGCAGCAATAGCAGCAGACGAAGATGACCCTGTAGTATCGGAAGATCTTGTGCTGCTGGATTTTCCTGAGTTTTCCTTCGCCCCTAGTCTTATGAAAAGACGGCCAGCAGCAGCAGCAGCAGCAGCACCAGCACCAGCAGCAGCAGCACCAGCAGCAGCAGCAGCAGCAGCCGCTAACTCGGAGATTACCCCACAAGATGGGCATGCAGACGTCGGGGATACAAGCGAGACATCAGAAGCAGCAGCAGGACAATCTGCAGCAGCAGCTGGTGCTGCAGATGAATCAAAAGCTGCAGCAGCAGCAGCAGATGCAACAAGAGCAGCAGCAGCAGCATTTTTACGGCAGCAGCAGCTGCAGGTAAAAGTGTGGGGCATGGATACGGCCTCCCCTTTGCTGCTGCTTGGTGATTTTCCCCTAAAGGGGGAGAGGGAGATAGATAGTATGACGACAACAGCATTATTTAGGGTAGATAAGCAGCAGCAGCAGCAGCAGCAGCAACAGCAGCAGCAACAGCAGCAGCAGCAGATGCAGACAGGAACGAAGGAGCCACAAGCGAAACTTGAGGGACTTGCTGCACAAGTTATATCCTTCAAAATCGATGTAACTGGAGCAGCAAGAGCAGCAGAGGCAGCAGCTGCTGCTGCTGCTGGTGCTGCTGCTCCTGAGACGTCTGCTGCACCCGCTCATTCTGCTGCCAGCAACCCTGCTGCTCCCTCTTGAGGCAGGGAGCAACATTTGCTGTTGCTGCAGCAGCAGCAAATGCAGCAGCAACACGGCAGCTATCTAGCGTACACTTGCTGCTGCTGTTGTTGCTGCTTTACAATTACGTGCTGTTGCATGAAGCATCATCAACTGTGTGCTGCAACAGCAGCTGCTGCAGCTGCTGCTGCTGCTGGCTGCAGCAGCAGCCCAGCAGTATGGAGCTCCATGCTGCTGTTCTACAATAAATGTTTTTTTGTTATTAATTTTTAGGTGTACGTACACCTGAATTGGGGAACTCATTTGTTGTTGACCGATTTATTTGAATAAATTATTTTATAATTATTATTAATTGAGGGTACATTCACCCTCACTTATCCTTTCTTCTCCTAGGGGTTTTCTTTACCTTTTGCTTATTTAACTTCCCCCTTTTATACATTTAGATACGTAGAAGTTAAGGTGTAAATGGTAAGAAAGAATTCATGAGTTGTTTATACTAATGGAGGGCAGCAGCTGCTGCAGCAGCTGCTGCTGCGGGAGCACCTGCTGCTTTAGGGTGTTGATGGTTAACCGCCGGACTTCTAGCAAAATTGTTTATAAAGGAAACATCAATTTACTTTTTTTAATTAATTAGAGATAAATATAAAAACGTATCCTCTTCCTACATGACAGAGAAAACTACCTGGATCTCTGTCGTGCTGGGGTCGGCGGACGACGGGAGCTTCCCATACGGTCAACTTGTGGCTAAATGTCCTTTTTTTTCTTCATGAGACAGTAATAAAGGGCAAATAGAATTAAATGAGCCATAATTGGAAGTCTGTATGTTAAATATTCAACAAGAACGAGGATTTTTCCTCTTGTGCAGATTTCAGCTGTCACTGGAGGTGGCGGCGCGTCGTTGTTCAACACCGTGTAGTGTACATGCGATCTTCAAGGAAAACTTACGCAAAATCGTAAGTAGATCCTTGTTTCTTTTTTCTTTTTATAAATAAAAGGATATTTGTCATTTTTATTGCCTTTTTTGGGCCTTTACTGCCAGCGCAATTCTTCTGTATCCGTCTGTCGGCCGTGGCTATGCAGCTGCAGCAGCAAAAACTCGTGTGTATTGAAGCAATAAAACCGAATGACTGGATATCTTCTTGAATTAAAATGAATATTAAACACAAATACTTTCTTCTAGATGCATGATCATGTCATGATCCTAAAGACTTGCATGAATGACACTTTAATTTCTTCTTGGCTGCACAGACAGAGCATCGGCGCAAGTTGCCGCCGCTACTCCGTTTGCTGTTAGCCTTCTTCTTCTTTGCACTTCTTTCTATGCATCACCATCAATAATTTTAATTTAATTTTATCATTGTGGAGCTGAAGGTGTGTGTCAACTCCCTAGCGGACAGGGAAAGCCGCAGCAAACAGCGGTGATTCCGCAGCACCAGCAGCTGCAGCAGCAGACGTCCCTCCTCTTCTGTGTGTTTCAGCAGTATAGTCGCACAATGAGGGCACTGCTTGCCTCCGCTGTCCATTTACTGCAGCAAGGGCAGCATCAGTTGCCCAGTAAGCTTCGTGGCGTCACGAGACGTCAAGTTTCTTCCTCTTCTTCTTCTCCATCTTCTCCTCCTGCTGGTGCATCAATGAGCCGCAGTAGTGGTGTATACGATGATGATAATAGATTAAGGGCCCCAATAGATAAGGAGGTATATGGTGGTGGGGCCCCCCTGAAGTTATTTCGTACGGAGGCTTCTGTAGGGGCCCCCCGATCGTCTGAAAGAGAGAGACAGGGCCCCATACGTCCTGTGTACCCTACACCTGGATTAGTAAGAAGCTATTCAGCAGCAGATGCAACAAATGATGCATTTACGGTGTCTCATGAGCTTGATCTAGATGACAAGATGACAACTATAATAGGAAGACTACAGTTAATAATATCTTTATGTGTAATATTATTAGGTATATATATATTATATATATATCCAGATATGATAAAAGAAGCACCAATATTATTTTATTATATTACTTTTTCTTTATCTGCAGAGGCAATATTATTATTTATTATTTGTTTATTTATGCTTACTATACGTATACTATGTGGTGCAGCAAGAGCTGAATATACTTCGGCTGTATGTGGTATATTTCATAGAACCATGGAGGGATTAATATATTTTATATGTGTATGTATAGGTATAATATTATTAATATTATTAATAATAGGTGATTATAATAATAAATATATAATATATATATATAATAAAAAATTATTTATATATATATTTATTACTATGCATGTTATATTATGTCTATTATATTGCATGCAGACTATACCTACATTATACGCCTTATGCAAATTCTCTTATAATAAAATTTATTTGCAATTCTTAGGCAGAGACGAATTTGAATTCCAGCGTGGTGACGTCCCAATTGCTTATGCAAGACTTGCAGACTATGACTATTCCTTACAACATATGCATAATCCTGCTACTGCTGCTGCTGCTGCTGCTGCTGCTGCTGCTGCTGCTGGGGGTGGGGGTGGTAGTGGTGGGGGTGGTAGTGCGCCTAATAGTAATAGAATCTATTATGGACATCCTGATGAATATACACCTCCTACTACGAGAAGAACCGATGCAGAAGAAGCTCTATTAAGCAGCAGAGTATAAAGAAATTCAACTTATATAATTTCTGTATACAGATATATATATACGAATGCGGGATAGCAACAGCTAGCTAGCTAGCTAGATTACTAGCTAGATATCTAGCTAGCTAGCTAGCTAGCTAGGTGCTGCTGTATATATTGTTGTTGCATGCAAGGAAGACGGTGCATGCAACAGACGCTCATGAACTGTCGGGTGTATCCACAGGTGCGTTTATACTTGTTGCCGTCTTCCTCCTTCTCTTTTAACGTTTTAATTTACTTTATTTAAATATATTGGGGTTTATTTCCCCTTTTTATTTTTATTTTTATTTATCGTCTTCCTCTTCTTGTGTGGGAGCGGTGGCAGTGTAAGTACACCGCTGCACCATCAGTAGCTGCTGCATGCATTCCTGCTGGGGAGAGCAGCAGATTGATCTGCAGCAACTGATCCAGGCAGCAGCAGCAGAGTGATTTATGTGCATTAATCACTGAGCTGCTTGCTTTCCCTCATGTGGATGTACACCTTGTTCCTTCTGCTATATTGACTATGATGCATCCAGCTATTTCCCTAGCTAGTTGCTGCAGCGAAGATGCATGCAAGCATACGGTAAATAGTCGAGCCAAACACTAGCAGCCCTTAATAGAGAGAGAGAGAGAGAGAGATGCTAGCTGCTGCTGTTAGGTAAACAGAAGCAGCAGCAGCAGCAGCAGTAGCAGAAGCGCATGTGTATATAGATATAAGGAGAGAATATAGTCTACTAGGTGCTCAATAGAAGGAAGAAAATCTTTTTGCCACCATTTGGTGAATGACAAACAAATTGCCAATTCTTCAAAGAGTTGAAATCCTTGGCAGCAGAATTTTATTCATTGATTGTACGGTGTTGCTAGGGTGTATATATATACATATACATATACATAATATATACATATATATATACATATATATATACATATATGTACATTTATATGTATGTGTATATGTATATGTATGTATATTTGTATAATATTATCTATTATGTGTTTCCTCTTATAGATAGAGGCCCTATGCTCCGTAACACACAGAGTCTACTGCTGTGTGCGCAGTAGTAGCAGCATATATGCTGCTGCTGCTGCTACAGCTTCTGTTGTTGCTGTTGCTGCTGTTGCTGCTGCTGCTGCTCCTACATCAAGGAGCTGCCTCATCAGAGCCATTTAAGGCCTCCTCTGTATTCCTACGAGTGCTGCCCTCGTTCTCAGAGGTGTGACCCATTTGCGAATAGCGCTGCGTACCGTGCATCAACTTAGGGACAGCCCTGTGTCTGCAACACAGCAGCAGAAGCAGCAGCAGCAACATGAGCAGCAACATGAGCAGCAGTGGAAAACCGCACCACATCAATAGCAGCAGCTGGTGCAACAACTGTAGTGCATGCAACATGCAACAATAAGCCCCTTTCTTTTATGCCCCTATGCATGCAACGAAGACCTTAAGGAAGCTTACCGCCGTGAGCTCATCGGGCTGCTGGCGACGCCGTGGCTGCTTTCGTAGCTTCTGCTGCCTTCATCTGCGCGGGCGCTGAAAAATGCACAAAAAAGAAATTCAAAAGAAAACAAATTATGAATAGCGGCCCTTTAGGTGTAGGTACGTAGGCTGCATGCAGCAGAACTCTTGTGCACACTTTTGCAGGTTTCTGCTGCTGCTGCTGCTGCTGCTGCAGATAAGAAGATAGATAGTGTACTTATATTAAATGTTTATATCTACATTACTCTACTCGTGTCCATGCTGCTGGCGTATATATATATTCTGCTGTGTATCCTCATTACCTGGTAGATGCACGGGAGCGTAGACCAGCACAGATGTAACGTTCATTAATCTTAAGACCTCTGAAGATGGGAGCGAAGCCAAGGACGATCCCCAATAGAAGCCCCACAACTGTGGAGGCGACGATCCCAGCAACTCCCAGACTAGGGTAAGTAAATACACCAATAACTGCGCCACTACCGAGGCCCCCAAGGGCCCCTAACCAGGCCCCGCGTCGCCCTACAAGCACCGTTGCTACTAATAAACTCATCAGAGAACCCCCTAGATAGAGGGCACCTGCCCAGCAGGAAGGAGGCACCAAACCACCCACCAAGCCACCAACCACTAACCCAATACCACCAGCAACCAACAACCAGTTGCCACCGCCACGGTAGAAGTTAGATGCCACTAAGCCCTGTACATACACCGCAGCAGTTGACAGATAACTTCTCTGTGCCTTAGTCTTTACGCATCTGTTTGTCTGTTAGCTGGTTTGCCTACCTCTCTGCTTGTTCGTGAATCGCCCGCTACTTTGGACTTTCTCTAGACTATCCCCTAATCCCCAACCCCTGTCTACTACTTTGTTTGCTTCCTGGTTCGCCCTTAGGGTTTAGGGTTTAGAGGGTGGTGAGGGGCGTTGTTGGCATACCTGCGAGTATAGAGCGGCTGTCATGTAGAAAGCGATGAATGTAATGACAGTGTAAAAACAAAACACCAAAATACTCAAAGTCCAAACAGGCCAACATGAACAGTCATCAAGGCAGACATCAGAATCCTGCAGAAAAAGCAAAAAAAAAAAAAAAAAAAAAGGAAT